GTATATGTATATGTATATGTATATGTATATGTACATATATATGTACATATATATACGTATATGCATGCATTTATATGTATATATTGTATATATATGCATATGTGTACGTCTAAACACGTAAAATGCCAGGCCAGGCAGAGCATCGTGATGTGGGAGTGGCAACGAGCTGAGCAGTGTTGAGGAGTGCGGCAGGGTGCGATCCTGGCAGTTCCGGGCATGTCGAGAGAACACCGCGGCCGCGTTCCTTCGGCGAAGCTTGATCTAATAGCTATTCGTAATGCAGCAAAACTGAGGCAGCTATGCACGCAAAACGCCAAAATACACTCTTAATGATGCATTATGTGGGCAGTAGTCATGAATGAAGGAAAATAATTGTGGGGCACAGTCCCTGCGTACCGCTCGGCCCGCTCTTCGTCGACGGATCGACAACTGGAAAGCGAGAGGCTCCTAAAAATATCAAGCGCTAAACGAATGCCGCCAGAGTGGGTCGCTGGCGAATTATGAACTCACGGGCCATTCTCCAGGAAATCGATAGGATATCATGCGACGTTCTCGACATGTGTGAAACACGGCGAAAAACCAAACAGATGGAACCAAACTTAGAGAGACGAGAAAACGGTTTTATTTAGTACTGGAGAGAGACAGAGGAGCTTTGGCGGGGTCGGGTTTTTCGTCAGCAGAGTGTGGTCTCCAGGAATCATCTTTTGCCAGTTCTAGTCGTATTGGATCAACGTACTCCTTCTCAGGCGAGATTCTGATAAAAACTCATAGCCGTGCAAAACTACACCAAGGCCAGCGGTGAGAATGAGGTGGAAGAATTCTGTGCTGAGCTCAAATCCAAATTAATCATCAGGCCCACATATACAGTCGTTATGGGAGATTTCAGTGCAAAGCTGGGATGAGGTGAGAAGGGCCAAGGAATCCGCAAGCAATGGTAGGCTAAGTTACCAGAATTTCAGTTTTATTGCCTTCGTAATTCTGCAGATCGGAATTTTTAGATATATACACGCACAGACCCCCAAACACACACATATATGTACATACATTCATACATACATGCAAGCACGCACATACATATATACGCGCACACTTACATACACAGACAAGCCCTCTACAGTTGTGTTTTTTACACTGCATGGATGCAGAATAATTAGCCAACGCACGGGCTGCCCGTGCGAAGATGGGTTTTTGCATAGCTCCCGCACATTTTTGTCGCTAACGGCACCGGTTTTTCCGGCAGATGCTTCTAGCTAAAGAGACTGGCCGCCAGGACTGTCAGGAAACAACTCCTCAAAATTCCAGTCTTCTAGCTTCTCATGTTCTCAAGTTAACAACTTACCCGGAAGAAACTTTCACGGGCCCGTACGTAGGTGCCACGCTTACCCGGAGGATGGGTTTCAGTGAATTAACACCTATTTTGACGGGGGACATCCTCCTAAGATTTCAGCGTTCTAGCTTCTCAGATCCCGAGTTACCAACTTACCTGTAAAAAACTTTGGCGAGCCCGTGCGCGGCTACCACGCGGGTGTTG